TACTGCTTTAGCTTACATACAAATTCAATTTAAGGACAGACCTTGGGAACAGAACTCGTTCTTAAACTGGGGACTACCTGTAGTCAAGCCTTGAGGTGACTAAAGCATGTGTGACTGTCTGAAGGGCCTCCTAACCCAGGAGGGGGCACAACTGGCATACCAGAGGGAGCTATGTATCTAAGAAGACACCGAGATGGCACACCACTCTTGAGTGGGGAGTGCTATGCTATCCAAAGTATAGATGTAACATCCTTGGATCCAGGGGGCCCTAATATCCACAGCCAATTGGTCTTGGTAAGATTGAGTCAGAGTCATTTTCTCCCCACCCAGACCTTCATAGCCTCCATGTACTGGAACAGGACCTCAACAGCCTCACTTGGCTTGCCTGGGGTCAAAAGATATAATTAGATATCATCAGCATGTTAATGACACCAAAACCCAAACTGGTGGATGATCTCACCCCATGATTTCATGTAGATGTTAAATAGGAAGAGAGGGAGCATCAAACCCTGCAGGACCCCACATAAGAGGGGTCTGGGGGACAACCTCTCCCCCCTTTGCTGGCACCAACTGGAACTGGTCATGAAGGAAGGAAAAGAACTACCATAAAACAGTGGTTCCAATTGCCAACACAGTCCCCAATTCCCAACTCCCACAGCCAATCCAGAAAGATACCATGATTAATAGTATTGAAAGCTACTGAGAGATCAAGAAGCACAAGTATGGATGTGCCAACTCCATCCCGGCTTCACCATAGGTCACCAACATGTGCCAGCAAGGCTGTCTCAGTACTGAATCCTAGCCTGAAGCCCAACTGAAACAGGTGTAAATAATTGCACTGTACTAACAAAATGTAGCCAGAGATTGTACAATTGCAACATCCTACACCGTACCCTCTAAAAACTGAAACTAAACCTTTAGAGAGATCCTACTTGTCAGGGAATTGTTCACAATTCAAACACTAGGTCAAAAATAAAGTGCTCTCCTGAAATCTTGACATCCCAAACATACTGAAATGAATACTTCCTATAGCAGGTTTATGGGGAGAACACCACACACTTAATCTGCCAGTGGTCACTTGCAATGTCATGAACCAATAAGAAAGTATATACATTTTGTTTTATCAAAAGAAAAGAAGAAAATTCAACTTTTTGTTAACCAGAACACCAGCAACAGCAAAGTCTCACCAGCAACAGCAAACAAGAAGAATCAGTGTCCTTAATCACTGCTTTTTCATACATGGAAGTTGTGTTAAACACAGTAGCCAAGCTTACTAACAGCAGGTTACCTAGGCAGACAATGAAACATTCCACTGCAATCCAAACCAAGTGAGGGAGTAGTTAAATTCCATAGTTGTCTCCTGCACAAAAAATTCAGGTATAACATGGTTCACAAGTCCATATTAAATGCAATGGCCATATAGGTAAGTAATGGAGCTACAAGTGTTTTTGCTATCTAAGAATTGAAAAGCCACCAAATGAGGAATTCTGTGTAAGGAAAGGGACAGAGAGAGCACTTGTGTATGCATCTGTTTAAAATGTTTGGCTTAAACTGTAATTTTTGCGACAACAACATGAACAACTCAATTTTGAAAGATGCGGTTCTTAAAACCTCACACTTGTATTCAGAGTCATGCATATTCCCATTATGGAATAAAAAGAGAGCCTGTTTTGTATAGTGATTAAGGTGCTGGCCTAGTAACCAGGAGAGAGTATTTTCTAGGCCTCCCTTAGACATAAAAACCAGCTGAGTGACTTTTATGGGCCAGTCTCTCAGCCCAACCGGACTCACAAGTGGTTGTTGTGGGGAAAAAAGGAGACAGTAGTATTACTTAAGTTTGCTGCCTTGAGTTGAATGAATGAATGAATAAATGAATATATGCATACATACATACATACGTATAAATAAATAAAAGTGGGAAATGATGATGATGATGATGATGATGATGATGATGATGATGATGGAAGAGGAGGAGGAGGAGGAAACAACAACAACACAGCTGTTCTATTAGCAACTCAGAGAGATACAGGCAACAATGGCCTTCCACTTTGGACCACCAAAATTCATATGAAATCTTGGCAAGAATCCAACTTTCTCTGGCAGACAAGAGAGGCTGAATGCCATTTTAGAGGAAAAGTGGGATATACTTCTAATAATTTCATTATCTTATTGCTTCTCTTTATCTAAACTAGTTTTAGTAAACTCTGCATTTTAAGAAATGGAAGATTTCTACCTGACAATGTTACTTACAACACTAGCTAATCCTAAAGAAATTGGGTTCTCATTCAACATAAAGTGTTAATTAATTTTTAATCACAAGAAGCCTCTTTGACCTTGAATACATGACTGAAAAGCAGCTAGGGAATTCAGTTAATAGCTTTAATAAAGTAAAAGTGTGATCCCCCAATATCAATAATGCGTTTTAACTGCCAGCAATGTACAACAAGCCATATTCAAATACAGATTGGTAAAGCTGACATTATTAGAAGTACATGTAATACCTCTAACTATTCTAAATAATCCTCTAACTCCAGAGTTATATTGTGCCTTTCAATCACAGAAACACTTTCTTTATATTAGACTTATTTTAAATTATAGAAATTATAAATGCATAAAGGTTAGAAATAAAAGGATTATACCATTTTAAGTGAAACAGCGCCTAGAAAACATTCCTTCCCCATTTCACAAATTTCATATTAGAAAGTGTTCCGTAAGTGTCTACTTACTTCCCATTTTGAGTAATAGTTACAAGAAAAGGAAATAAACATCTTAGCTAAATATCCTAATATAATATTAAGCAAAACAATTTTGTTGTCTCAGATTTCTAACAGATTTAGACACTGATACAGGAAGTAATTGCTCTATAGTGTGTGGTCATGTGGATTCAGATGGAATGCTATTAATTCTACTTACATTTAAATGACTTTCCACTAATTGCAGGTGTATTTGGCAGCTCTCTCAGCCCTTCCAAATCCAGTGTTGCAAATGATCTACTGCATAAAGAGTGCAATGGTCAAAAATCAAAAAGGGGATGGAGGCATACAATATGCAATAGATCTCTCAGATCATGTTAAAGGCTGTATATAAAATGGATAAATTACTAAGACAAAGTGCAAATGGCCATTTTGATAAAACTGATGGTGCAATTCACGAAGCTCATCTCTGAATCCTGATAAGGAAAGTTAACTGAACTTTTGTCCCAAACTCATTTTCCATGTCAAGATAAGCAACACTATATTCAGTAAAAACAATGCACTTTATTTGACACAAATGATAATTATGGCTATGAGAAGGCTGATCTGTCGGAAGATTCAGACATGCTGTAGCAACAATCAGTGATTTTAGGCTGTTAATTCTGTACAAACATGGCATTCACATTATAAAACATGAACACACTGAAACTACCTCAACTGCTATTTCTAAGTTTAATTACATATATTGCTGGCTGCTCCCATTTCCCCCAAATCCTATGGCCTCAATTATCCAAACTTGTGTTTCACTATGCTAAACATCTGTGCCAACACTTAAAGACAGATCTGCTATAGCATTTGCATTGCTTCTTCTCTATCCATGATCAATTACATGCCAACTTATAGAACAGAAGCCTTATAAATACAGTTAGGTTAACAATTCTAGTACTGCCTGACCACATGTTACATATAGCCTATTACATATGAATAAAGGAAAATAAGGACATTTGATTTAGGTCAGAGCACCACAGAATAATGTCAGTGATTGCTAATGAACACTGAAGCAGCAAAGGAGGACCCTAAGTTTTACAAATAAAGCAAAGATTACATAGATACCCTTGACAAATTCAAAATGTAGACCTCAAGCAGCAACATATAAGGTAAATCTTAAATATGAATAAATAAAAGTGTATGCTGAAAAAAAAATCCAAACAATGTCAAAAGACACAAAGTAGTTAATATCAATATAAAGCCTTTAAAGCTGCATAAAAAGAGATCTAAAAGTAAATAGGCTTTATAAAACCTATCCTCTCTTTTTATGGTGTGGTAGGTAAAATCACACTAACAATCCAATCTTACCAACTTTTACTGGGAAATAAGCAGCACTGATTTCAATTAACTTTACTTAATAACAAGGGGAAACTACAGATCGTCTAATTCTGAGGAAAGAAGTCCAGATGGGTTAATACACTGCATGTTAGACTTCTCAGAATTTCTTACCTCAACTAACCTGACAAAGAGAACATCAGGACCATAGACAGGGTTTGTTTTGTACATGCTTAGGCAAGTAAGTTGGATAAGAGTTTAAGGGGGGAACAGAGTTGGCAGTTACTTTGGAAGACAATACAACACCTATTCTGATTGTTCATCAAATATATACCAAAATATACACACATAAAATTTCATTGACAGCCAAGCTACCTTTTCCTATAAAATACTGTATCATGGTTGTGAAAAATAAACATCACCATAAAAAGATAACTAAACAAAAATACTTCACCTGCCTGCATTACTACATTCTTCACAAGGCAATAATTCCATTTTAAGTTAAATTATTAGGGACAGAAATTTTAGTCTTCCCTTCAGGTAAATATAGTACAGTAATTTGCATACTGGTCTAACTAAACGCCTCTTTGACCAAAGCAGGGCTCTCTAAATCAAGCTCCCTAATACATATCCCATAATTCTGTTTTCATTACATTTGTGTAATTACTACATAAAAGTACTGTTATTAGCTTCACAGTAGTATTATTACTAATAACATGTGGGTTGAGTCAGTCCAAAAGTGCCACTCATTCTAAACTGTACATTTAACTAACTAAGCATGCAGAAAACACTTCCTGTAATTATGAAGATGTTTTTGTGACCATCTTGTTGGTTCCCTCTGTTCCAAGGATTCAGATACAACCTGCTCAACAGGGTTGATTTCAGAGAGATACACAGAATTCCCACAAGTTGCAGTACATGTCAAATATATTTTTAATAAGTAAAGCCAAGTTAAAGCAACCCAGGAAAAAAAAAGACAAACTTCAACTGTACGAAAAGAAGCAGGGCTGGAGTTTTCATGGGTTTACCTACAGTGTTTTATCTACTGAAACGAGCTCCTGGCCTTTTGAAGACAGCACTGAAAGACCTAGATACTTTTGTGTGAGAATTCTGAGATGGATGACTTTAAAGATGGTATGTTCATACTCTGTTTTAGAATAGGAAAAGGAATAAGGTCAGGACCACAGGCATGGTTCACCCCTTTTCATTTCATTCCTAAGTAAACTATGTATGACAAACTGGGACTTAAAGATTACTGATAAACTTCTTTGAGAAATAGAGATTTGCACACAGGTCTCTCAGCCTGTCAGAATAACCACTATAACACGTTGGCTTGGTTTGCACAACATGGTACATTGGGTATTACTGAATTATTCCATTCTTGGTTTACATAATACACTGAAACATAAGTTAACCAAACAGTCTGGAATTGCATAATACACCATGCCACAAAAAGTAAGACAAGGTTGAAATTAATCAAATTTAGTACTTTGTACAAATATACATGAGAGCTTTAACTGATCTGATTAAGTAAGCGAACCAGCTGGTGCCTTAATTGCAATGAATGTCCTGCACCAAGAACCCCTTATATTATTAAGCTAAAACAGAAAAAGCACACATTCACATGGTATGTGCGCATGCATACATGTGTGTATTTCAAGAAAATACTGTGTATTACTTCTCACCAGTTTTTAACATGGGGGAGAACTGGAGTCTCAATTTTGAGGGCCAGTGGGCACATGGAAACTTGATAAAGTGTTGTGCTTTGGAAAGTGCCTTAATTGCAATGAATGGATGGCAAACTAATGAGGCTAAATGGCAAGTAAATTGGCAAAGAAAATGATATAAATAAGAGATGTCATCTGAGCCCAAAACTCAAACCTATTCCTTCAAAATACATCATTGTCCTGCTCCAAAATCACTCCTACAGTATTTCACAGAAGACAAACTGATTCTTCTGTTTTGTGCAAATTAACTACTCCTCTCAGAATATACAAGGATCATGTTGGAAACCCCAATGGGAATAAAACTAGACAAATCTGATCTGCAGCCCTAATATTACAAACTGATTTGTTGCCTGCCCCAAGCCTTTGCAATGACAAAATTGAAATATATGGTGCTAAGTTAAAAAAAAAAAAAAAGCAATGCAATGCAATGTTTCATTCAAACTTTAAGGCAGCCAAGTGAAATAAAGCAGAGGATATGGAGTATTGGCACCTTCAGAACAAGGAACTGAAGACATTGCAGAAAGCGAAGAAATAACTGTAATCTGGATTGAAGAAAAAATAAACAGAAGCATAAACATGTGACAAAGGATGATTGAGTCATATTCATTTAGTAGGATACTTCTTGATAGTCAGCCAATGTGGAATATTTAACAAATATCAGTTTTTATTCAAATAACATGATGGCCCTTAATTTTTAAAGACGGTAGTTATACTAATCAAAATAGTGATTATTGAAAATGAAGACACACAAAGATGCACATTACTGAGCAAATGTTCTTTAAACAACCATTCAGCAATATAATTTGTAATATTTATGCAATCAAAAAGTCAACAAGCTTTTTTGCGAACTTTGCCCCCATGAGGCTTCAGTATTGCTGCTGATGAGGTGTTCTGTAATACTGCTCACTAGCAATATCTTTCCGTTGCTACATATACTCAAGCTACTGCTAAATAAGATCAGTAAGCAAAAGTTGTACTTTATGCAGTACTTTGTGAAAAAAAGCCACAACAATCTTGAGCAAGGGAGATTTTCTTCCTTTTCCAAGTCAACTGAATGTAGGTTATTTAATTTAATAACTCTATTTGTTAAACTAAAGACACATAAAGAAATATGCACATTTCAACTATATGATTGGATAACTGTATCAGCAGTAGAGAAAATACTATGCTTTATCCCCAAATTATATAACCATAAAGATTGAACTGGCTTAGATCATTTCGTATTTTGCTATCTAAATATCAAGAGATGCCATTATATCAAACAGTTCCTCATCCTATTTGAATTTCTACTTCTTTTCTGGCTGCCATCATCCTATAATTTGTGAGCAATCACAGCCAAGAGTGATCAGTAGCCTAGGTAGAAAAGCACTGTGCTTCTAACTTAGAAGTCCAATATATGTGCACTAAAATAAAATTACTGGTAAATCCAATGACCTGGCCAGAAAATTGCCTTTTAAAACAAGGTCTTGTAACCAAGGAACATTATTAGTTTATTTCAGATGCTTGTACTGAACAAAGCAAGAAGTAATAGGTGCAGCTGAAGCTCTTCCTACGCAGTAAAAATAGAGTAAAAGTAGGTTTGTGTTTGTCAATAAATGATTTACTATCGGGGAGAGTTTTTTAAGTAGGGAAAATCTTGTTCAACTTGTTAACATCACAGGTGGCAAAATATTTATTCTATGGCTCCTTTTACAAGAAAAAAGTACAGAGGTATCAATATGGCCGCAGATAATTAAAAGACAGCCAAAAGAAATTCCCCAACATATGCCTAAACTAGACAACTAATTGGATCACAAGTAGTACAAAAAGAACTTGTCATAAATTTGTAATGAAAACATTTCACTTTATTGCTTAGTACAGTATGTAATTCTGGTCTAGCTTATTCATCATTAATCCTTTCTTATATCTCATTATTCCAGTTAAAATTTTAGATTCCACATGTTGTGAGTTTTATTAAAATCATTTCTGCAATATAATCATTTTTAATCTTATTCATAGAGCAGGTGATCATCCACAATATTCTACCCAAACCAGTTATGCATAATTGTGTGGGTTTTCCAGAAAGTATTCCTACACAAAATAGTCTAACTCTAAAGTTTTTGAAGAAGACACATATTCACTGCTTAGCCTGGCATTTTTCAGCTGTTGAATATACAAAACATATGGAAAAGAATAGTAAACAAATGTGAAAAAAGATGGGATATCAGCCAATATTCCAGTGAAATATGCAATGTGTACCAGTGTACACTTTAATGTGCTGTGTAATATGCAAAATGTGCCAGTGCACACCTGTCTCCCTAGAAGCTACAGTTCTTTGGGTATATATAATACCCTGGCCTAATAACCATTGTTTATAAACCAGTCTGAAGTGTTTTAGCTCAAACATAGTAGGTGGAAACTGTTGTGATAAATGCATCTCTGTACAAACATAATTGCAAGGAGAAAAGTTCAAAAGGGAATCAGGCTAGGTCCTCTCTTTAGACATTTCATTTTCTATGTGGACAGTTGTTTGGTTCTCTTTACACAGAGGAATATTCAATCATGTCCATTCTTATCTATAAGCAGACATAGTGCAGTGATATAATCTTAGTTAGAATTATGTTTTAGAGAAGCAATAATCACTTGGCTTAATGCCATAGGTAAGTACATTACAAAATGGTATAGTACCAGTGGCCAGAAGCTGTTTCTCAGCTCCTTGAAAAAAGACAGGATATAATTTAATGGAATATAGCATAACACCTGGACATTGCTTATGATTAAAAGCTTCCACAAATTAACACACCACCTCAATTCTAACACTGTAATTGTCGTCCAGATCTTCTGCTTTAAAAGCCATGGGCAGAGTTGGAGAGCTCCAAATTACACCAAAACCCTATTGATTACAAGCTTGCAGGTTGAACATTTTTAGTTTCTTTTTTATATTGGAGATGTGGGTGCATATTTAAAAACACCCACTCTTATTGAGAGCCAGTTTGGTGTAGTGGTCAAGACACCAGGCTAGCAACTGGGAGACCACAAGTTATAGTCCTGCCTTAGGCAAGAAGCCAGTTGGGTGACCTTGGGCCAGTCACACTGTCTCTCTGCCCCAGGAAAAAGAAAGCAAAGGCCAACCATTTCCAAAAATGTTGCCAAGAAAACTGCAGGGACTTGCTCAACTTTTACCACGTTCTTTTTGGCTTTCCCAGCCTCTCAGAAAAAGGGAGTTACAGAGTTGATGGAGTGCATATATCCAACTTCAAATTCTTCTTCCAAGAATTCCATCAGTTTCAGTGGAAATTAACATGCCTAGGATTATGCTGTAGCTGAAGAGTTATGGAGCTGGTAGATTTCCCAGCCCTGACCTACTTCGCATTGAAACTGATGGAATATTCAATGGTGCCTTGATCTCTGGTATATATAGTTGTTTGATTACAATTCCCATCTTCCTTCTTGTCAGTTCTGAGTGGGCATGATGGAAATTAAACCTCACATAGTTCAGTGGGGCTTACTGCTCCAAATGTGCAAATTAATTGTACTGAAGAATCACCCAGGTTGAGGGTTATTATGTATGTTATACCTCTGAAAAAAGTAGCATTTTTAATTTGGGAATAAAGATATTTGATTATGTGCCATCAAGTCATTTTTGACTCCTAGCAACCACACAGATTTTCTCCATGATAAAGATACATAGCTAATATTTACAAACATTGCACATATTGATAAGACATGCCTTCTTTCAGCCACAGGTAGATGACTAAATAGCCAACTGCTGATACCAAGCCTAGTCCATAACTCAGTTCACTATTAAGCCAAGTAAAATGATTTAATTTTAATAGTTATCAGTATTTGCTCAAAATATTTCAGTTTATTACCCAAATCACTCCATATTGTTATCTTTTGCCACTAAAGTTACCTGAAATGTACCAATATATCTTGACAGCCCTTGTATTGCAAATCCAGAAACACTTTAACCACAAAATGTTCACAAGCTACAAATTACCCTATCACTACTTAAGTAGGTTGCATGCAATATTGCTCCTGCAAATGTACTGAAGCCTGCCATTTTCCAAGACTTCATCCAAGACTGTAAAGTTCTTTACAAATATAACTAGGCACTCTTCCTTCAAGGGCTGTCATTTTTCCAAAAGGAGAATGAATGGTAAAGTATTTCTTCTACAGCATCACCTGCAGCAATTTATGATACAGTTTATGTTTAGTATTCAATCCTTAGTGCCACAAACCTACTAAAGACTGTAGCCTTTATCGCTCTAAAGGGAACGGTGGGGGGTAAAAGCAAACTGTTGGCTTTCAAAAGGACAGACACAAACTTGCATCCCGGAACGAACCTGACAGCCTCCCAAGGTGCTGCAGAAGTTCGCTTTTGAAGGAAGGTAAGTTACCATCTACCGCACTTGACTGTAAGCTCACACTAAATAAAAACAGCAACTACTAATCTGAAAGGGGCATCATCAGTCTTTGTTTGCCTGCTCCTTCTTTAAATCGCCGTTTCTCAGGTCCGCGCTCATGTTAGAAACGCTAAGGCTGGGCAGGTGCCTGAACACCTGGATATAAGGCTCAGAGGGCAACAAGAAGTGAAACCTCCGAACAGCTTCGTGCTTGTTTAAAATGCGGAACGGTACAGACATAATAATAACAACAACAACAACTGCAGCAGCAGCAGCAGCTAAAATTAAAGACACACAAAGCTCTCTCGGGGTGCTCGCGAAGGGAGGGAGAGGAAGACCCTTTTCGCCGCAGCTGCTAAGAGGGAAGGGAGAAGCTCCTGGACAAGGTCAGCAGCCGCCCAGGAGAGGCGCCGGCGGCGGAGAGCGCGGGCAGCGCACGGCGCCCCGCGAAAAGGACGGAGAGACCCTTAGCGGCCCAGGCCTAATGGCCAGGGCCCGCCACTCGCCCTCGGGACCGAGCCCCGAGGCCCTCGCCTCCCACTGCAGCCTTACCCGACGCTTCCTCGCTCCGGTGTCCCGCTGTCCCGAAGCTGAGCGGGTCG